GATGGAATACTTGTCTGCAGAGAGGGATACTTCTATGGAGGACTTTCTTGCAGAAACTGGCGTATATTTATGTTACAAATGGGAGAAAAGCCACCAAATCATTCATGCAGTTAATCCATTCATCAAGATTTAATATTTGGTTAATCCCTCTCTAAAACATAGAACATTTGTATCTTTAGAATTGTTGATTCCAAGGGTTGATTTATCTGATCATTTTCTTGGAAAATTAAATCCCCCAAAGATATATGTAAAATTTTAAATTGTTTACTTAGAGAGGTTATTAGTTTCAACCCATTATTTTATGTCTTTCAAAAATTTTAACTTTGTAGAATATAAAATAATAATAATAACCAGTTGAAAATTATATAAAATGCTTGATAATAACTTCTGGGTTTCCCTTGAAATATATAATCATTAATAAGCAAGTTTTGAATTTTGTTTTGGTAAGTTAATTAAGGAAAAAAAGCATATGAGTATGCAAGTGCTAAAAAATGGAATATGCTTTTTGTTGCTTCTCACTATGTTGTAAAACTAAAAGTTAATGAACATAATTTATTTTTGAAATTAATTAAAAAAATTTTGTCACTAATTTAGCACTTTTCTTAGCGGTTTACCTGAGGCAAGTGTCTCACTATTGCCCCAGCTCTGGTTGAAGGTAATGTTATTTTGAGCATATCTTATAATTCAATAGCTTTACAACTGTAGCTAACACTTTGGATTATTGCACCATGTGATTGCTACTTGCGTAGGCCAAGATTCAATGACTGGTATAAGAATTTGCAAGCCCAGCAGGGTTATGCAGAATTATGTGTGGAATGTCAATGACCCTCTGTTATAAAATCAATTCTTCGAAGTCAGAAATTAAAATATAAACATTTATTCACAACTACATAAATCTAACATCAGATACATCTACATCAGCTTCATAAATCTAACGGCAGAAACATCTACATTGGCTACATAAAATCCAACATCAGAAAAGCAAGTTCTTAATAAAATGGCTAGCGGCATCTCAGACTAGATAAAAGCTAACAGCAAAAACTGAATTACAATGTTCTAAATAAAAATAAAAATTATTTTCATTGCTAAATTCTTAAAGTTGTATATCTATTGCCAGAAAAGGCTTAGAAATAGCATTTCTAACACCCTCACTCACCAGTGTGCGAGATGACAAATGTTTTATTTACATTGCTGTTATGTGTGCCCTGAATGTACATAACAGTAATGCAAACAAAGTGTTGTATGCACACCCTGGGTCAGGAAACTGCGTGTATTGCATAGTATCAAGTATCTTCATGAATAATACAGTGACATATGCAATGCCACAGATTGTCATCAAAGTGGTTTCTCCTGATGCTGTGGACAGAAATCAGCATCTACAGTGGTGCATTCAACAATACGCATTGATGCATCAATGATATGAATTTTTTCTCTGATGAATTCTGCTTTTGCTTGCAGTATCATGATGGCTGTATATGTGAATCGAGGCACTGAGGGCAGTGAAAAGGGAAAGCTTGCATTATTGATCATCATACCAGCCCAGCATCTGCATTTATGGTATTTGGTGCCATTGGGTACTAATCTTGTTCACTTCTATACCTCATAACATATGCAAGGCTAGAACAGCTTCTTCATGGCTTTTCACCCTCATCTTCAAGTTATCCATGTGCGCCAATGGCAACTTCTTGTCGAACCCAGCATATTTAATTAACGGTCTTTCTATGTGATGGACCTACTGTTGAATTGATAATTAATTGTAGAGTAAAATGTAGCATATACTATCCATTTTAACTTATGTAAAATTTTTTACTAATTTCTTAATGTGACATATGCAAATTTGATGGCATTTAAAAACTGAATTGTTTATTAAAACTTGAAATGGAAGGGCTAACAATGTATTCTTTGCAGTTTGGGTTAAGTTTTTTCCTCTGGACCATTCACTATGTTAAAAGTAAAACATTATGTTTAGCAAATTTGGTAGTTTTTCTCATAATTTGCAAGAATTTGTGTTTGTTGCTTTTGAAACAGTGAACCAGAGAAAAAATTTTTATTTTTATTTTCTGAAGTCATTAATGAGATTTTAATTTGCAATTGTTTAAAAGACTTGGACTGTATTTTATAGGAGACATTAAAAAATTATATCATGTATTAATTGTCTCCTAAGATGCATATTCTTCCATTCATGCCCAGACACTCATCCTCCCACAGTACATCTTGTCCTATCCTGTTTAGTACTGTTTAAAACAAGAAATAAAAATATTGGAAACTGAAATCTTCTAATTGCAGTCTGTGCAACAAAGTGCAAATGCCCATAAGAACTAAATAAGTAAAAATAAATAATAATAATAATAATAATTAAGAAGTGCATTTATTGCCTTTAAAGCCTTCACTGTATTAAATAATGAATGGCTGTATTTAAAAAATAAATTAAAATTCTTATCTTTGTCTAATGAAATGGTTATGCATGATGGCACTTGAAAAGTGCATCTTTTACTCCATGTAGGGGGAAAACATTGTTTTTATATCTCTCAATTTATAAAATGCATGCTGATTCATTTCTCTGAGAATCTGTTAATTATATTTTGTGGGGGGTAGGACTGTATAAGTTTGATAAAAACAATATGCTTACTTTGAGATATAAATTAGCATATTGTATGGGAAATCTGGCTATTTGGAATCATCTGCATATCAAGTGTATTCATGACTGAGTTGCTCAAGTTATGAAACACTGGTAGTATGCAGTGAGTTCATTTGTAATGACTGAAACCACTGAACTGCATGGGAGTCTCACAGTTGTTACACAAAAACAGTCCTTTGCCCTTATAAAATTCCCCTCAAAGACATCTCTTCCTTTGGACAGTTGTTGCAAGTTAGGCAGCAGTTTTTTTTCCTCAAACCAGTTTTCATAATATTCTGCATTCATTTCCCCATAACAGCCCATAGCCCGGTTTCTTTTTTTCAGCTTCACATACATCACTTGCTTCAGGAATAAATCTGTCTTTATTACCAACAGGAACAAGTATGCATTATGAACCTTTTCCCGGGGGGAGCAATGAAACTTGTTGAAAGGCCATTCAAAAATCCTCTCTTAGCAACTGTTTTTAGTTGTATTCTCCCAAATTTTGGTTTTAGAATGCCCAAAATTTACCCAGATTTCATCGGTATAATAAATTGTCCTACTCTGTGCATGATAGGTTTTTTTATATCTCATAAGTATCTGTGCCTTCAACATCGAATGGCGTCACATTCAGTCAAAACTGACTGGCGTTTTCATTTTCAATATACAAATCCTAAATCATTCATCATTCATCTTACAGTGTGAATGGACATATTTGGCAAATTAGCTTCATCATTTATAACTTTAACTGCTTTTTTTGCTTAGCAGGAATTTCATTCCTTAAAAAAGAAACTGTGAACTTTCCTTCATATTATTGCTTAGTTAGCTCATCGTACCATTCAATTTGGGTGTGCATACTGACTTTCAGATGTTCGTTTTCCCTGAGATTAAAAAATCTGGCTCTTTCTTTCAGTTCAGATCTCATGTCATTTATGCTTGTCCCAGAAATGCCAGTCAAATCAGCAGCAAAAGTAACAATTTCGTTATCGGATTTATTAGGAAAATGCTCCTGTAATTTGACAAAAACATTCATAATGTTAATCTTAGTGGAACTGCAGAGTGGTTTTCCTGCCTTATGAAGTTGAAAATTATATACATATGTCGAAGATGAAGCAACTGCTATAATAATTGATTTCTTTTCCTCCTGGTCAGTGGAAGAATGTATGCTTTAATTGCTTTTCTCGTCAAGAGTAGGGCGAGGTCAGGGTCACTGGAATTTGCAGTTTCACCAATAATGCCAAAAAAAGATGTCTTCTTGTTGGTCATTGAATGAGTGGCATGATGTTAGGAAATTCTTAAATAAAAAGCTGGATGCAACGTAATCCATCATTTCACAGGTTTCTTTTTCTTTCCGTTCTCTTTGCTCAACTATATTAATGCTCAGTGCACTTTTTACAAGATAACTTCTTGAATTGGTAGAACTATATTCTACAGCGAATGCATACACTTTCTACTACATCCAGTTTTCTTAATTTAGGTTGACCTGCAGTATAGTCTCCTTATCCTGTACTGTGACCAGCCACTGTTACTTTTGAGGTTTTAGTGTCCTTAAATGAGTTATATCTTCAGGCTTACATTCCATTAATTTTCTATAGTAGACAATATGAGACTGCAAGTTGCTCTTGTTGTGCTACTTTTCTTCAGTACTCAGGGTGTTCAACTTCAGTCTTAGAATATTTTCTAGGTCTCTCACCACTTGGAAATGTCTAGTGATGGTTACAGAGAGACTTGCATGACAATGCTTACCAACTAATACAATGGATGAACTGTGATATAGCATGTATGAACTGCAGTACCTGCAACTAAAATTCAAATTTTGTTTGACTTTGCCAATCGATGTAACATCTGCTATTATTGCCTGAGGAAAGTGCTAATGTTATCATTTCTGAATATTCTATAGCCCACGTTTGCCTTAAAGTTTAACCATTTCCTCCTTCCATGTGAATGTAGTAGTATTCATAAAATAAAAATAATTTCAAATTGTCCTTCATGATGTAACAATGTGAAAAGCCAACAATATATTCATTATAAATACATGCTGAAGATTATAATCCTAATTATAAATATATACTGAAAATTATAATATTATGCTGTATAAATAAATACTGAATATTTCTTGATTCCCCTCCCAAATCTTATGTATTAAAATTTATTCTCTTGCTCATGAAGTATATTTTCTCAAAACTGGCTTTAAGTTTGAATAATTCTACTTCTTCTTCTTCTTCTTCTTCTTCTTTTTTTTTTTTTTACTTTAAATCTTTTGTTGTTCCTCTGTTCCTTTGTTTTCACATAGTATTGAACTCCTTTTGCTTAATTATGCTTCATTCGTTTTTCAAAATAACAGTTTAAGGAATAAGTTTTAATGTTTTGAAATATATTCTAGGTAGCCCAGTCACTTTCATTGCACAAGATAGTGGAGTTCCAAAAGTGGAGGGATCTGGTCTCACTGTTGCTCAAGTTGGATGTTCAGCTTCTTTTAAAATAATATCAAAAGGACTGTGGGGTCATCCACAAGTTACAGTAGATGGTGCGTATAAATATCATGTAAGGCTTAACCCTTTTCAGACGGCAGCTGAATCTCCTAGCCTGTCACTACGAGACATAGCACTGAGCTTCCGTGATGCAAATGGTTGATGCTTGCTCAATAAGCTTAGTTTTGCTAAAAAATTCCTCAAAAACCACTTTTATTCCAATTAACCCAGTTTTTCAAATATTAAAGAAAATGTATTGATCCTTATGCCTGGTGAATTATAGAATTAAATACACATAACTTTTGAAGCTGTAATGATATATATAGAGAGACAATGAAAGAGGAATTAAAAAAATTTCAGCATTTGTTAATTTACAATTAAAATATTTAATATAAAGCAACAAACCTACACAGGCACATCCACATGTACAGGTATACATTTAGAATGAAATTGAAATTTTTTTTTTTTTTGTGATATATTCTGAAGCATGGGTCCACACAGAATCCTACATTTCAGTCTTTGCACTCAAAGTAAGATTTTTTCTTGAAGTTGTCTTCCTCTGCATAGTTTGAGAACAAACAATACATTTTCTCATTTTCTCTTTCTTCTCATTAAGAATTAGAGGTGGACAATGCCTTTCTGAAAGGTAAAATGGCATCAGTGTTTCTAATGCCCAAAATTCACATTCTCTCTTGACATGACCTTCTCCATGATTTGTGTGCATACTTTTAATCAAAACTGAAGTAATGGTGTTTTTATACCATTTTTTACATCATATAAAACTTGAGCATTATAGATCATTATTTTGAGAAGCCATCCCAAAAAAATTTATACCATTTGGAAGATTTAAGATGGATAATGATTAGCCACTACATCACTAATATCCACTTTTCCCATATTTTTATTGTACTGCAATATACAGTTTCGTTCCTTAATGCATTCTCCCATTTTGTAATTTTGTTCACCAGAATCTTTCATTTTGTGCTTATGCATTGTAGTTAAAAGCAATACCTTTTTCTTTTTACCTTTAAATGCAATCAGACACGTATTTTTACTATACATCATCTTTACATCATTTTGTCTGATCGTTTTTGATGGAAATGTTGGCAGATCTTTCCTCAATTTCATGATTGTGCCATACACATTTGGTTTTGCGTCATCGGAATCTAATGTAAGTGATGGTAATGTGAAAAACTTCTCCAGCTATATGTTCTATATTTTTCTTAAAAGGTCACTTATGAGGTTTTTCTGTTTTCACCATATAGGCCACTGCTCACTGCATGATTCGTATATTTGCAGTGTATATTAAAATGTTTCAAACATAACTTGTATCAGATTCACTTAGTTTATATATTTTTATACCACATCAGGATCATTTCAATGGAACATATTATCTAAATCCTAGCCTGCCTTTTCATGTGAACAAAGATTCACAAGAACACTTTTTTTTAGTTTATACACATTTTAAAATTTTTGTATGAGAGGCTGAGTAACTGGTTTCAGTTTACCCAATTTTTTAGCACTACTGTTTGGTGTAAAGTGAAGATATGGTATCTTCGAAAACCTATCTCTTTACATCATTTTATTAAAAAATGGGAGTAGCAGTTATTTTATTTTTAGTAAAGTACATTTTTAGATCCAGTTTTTTTTTAATCACACCCATTAGCATATTTAATGATAAAAATAGGTTCATTTCTTCATTTGACTGAAATGAGGACTAGGAGAATCTCGAGATGACCTACTGAGGACTGGATCTTTTTTTAAGTCAAAGTGTGCAAAATGATTTCTTTGTTCTGTAATTAAATTTATTAACCCATCGTCAAAAAGTATGCAAAAAAATCTTATTTATCACAGTCACCATCTATTGCATTGTAATTAATACCAAGTGTATTAGTGTAAGCATGTGGCTGTAAATGTTTATCAAATGCTATTAAGCTAAGCTAAAATTATACTTTACTGATTCCAAAGAATTTCAGTTAATGTAACAGATTGTGCTGTTCCTTAACTTTCTGAATTGATCCAGCTTATTATTTTTTGCAGGCTGTTATTATTACAGCATTTTGATGAGAATTAAAGTTGAACTTTTGATTATGTAGAAATAATTCTGGAGCTGCAATGAGATCTACAAAGCGAAAACATGTTTCGATGTCCGTTAAACAAAAAATGGAATAGCTGCAAAAAAGGAATAACAGTATATCCATCTCAAAATCTCAAGGAGTATCGCATGGGAAATCAACTGTATATGGCATAAGAAAACAGAAAAAGGAACTTTTTGATTTTTTTTTGTGGGTTCACACCCGACTGGCAATAAAAACACTGAAAATTTAACAAATTAAATCGAAAAATTATTCGTTATGCTAAAACTGATAACTGAATGAGTCAGACAGCGTCACAGTGAGGGCATACCATTGACAGGTCCAATCCTAATGGCTCAAGTGGCTTTCATGAAGCCACTTACTTGAGTGGCTCAAGTTCATGAAAGCTCATGTGGCTTTCATGAACTTAAAAAATGAATGCACATATCCGACAGGTTGAATCATATCTGACATAAGTAAATTTAAAAATTGCCATTGTAAATGGCAATTAAAAATGTCAGGTGAAAATGTCTGATACTGAAGCTGCTGAACTGTTTGCAAATGAATTGATTAATATCATTAATAGTGAAAAGTGATGTCCAGAACAAATTTACAACCATGATGAAACTGGTCTTTTTGGGTCATGAGCTGGTACCGTGAAATACCTTGGCAACCTCTACAGAAATGGCTCCAACTGGTGTCAAAGATCCCAAAGCAAGACTAACAATTTAAGCATGCACAAATGCTGCAGGAATGCACAAGTGCAAACTTTTCGTAGTCTGAAAAAATACACGACCTTGACAGCATTTAAAGGAGTAAAGATATACAGTTCTTTATCTCCCGTTCAACTGGGCCGATTTACAAAATTCAACTTGCAGTTTACATGCTTTGAAAGCGCAACTAAGGATATATATTAGATTTATATGTAACATTGTTCTAACATAGGTATTTTGACACAAAATTGGACATTTTCTGAAATAACATACCAACGTTTTTCTATATTTCAATTTTATGACTTAAATTATACCTAGTTATTAAATTTTTTAAAATTTGGTGCGAAATTTACGAAGAAATTCAAAAATTTATCCTGGCACAATTTTTTCAGATTGCGCCAAGAATAATTCACTTGGCGAACTTCTTAATATGTGACAAACAATTTTCCTTTCCGTTCCATTATGCCAGAGTGGGAAAAAAGGCACCTCATTCCTATCGTTTTACATTGTGCATGAGCGGAAAACAAGTCACTTCGTTCTTACCTTCAAATAATTTTAGCAAAGTGTCTAAACGACGTTTGATGTTTTATCGCTTTCAACAAATATGCCAAATTTCAAAATGCGCCAATATATAAATTTACGTATATCTTCGGAATTTTTGAATAAAAAATTGTAATTTTTTTGCAGGTATAGTTAGAAATACGTCTACATTAAGATAATGGTAAAACTTTTATATATTATAATTCAAAATGTTTTTGAAAAATTTATAAAAATTATTTAAAAATACAAATTTTAAAAATAAATCATAAAAAATGGGTGAATTTTATTTGGAGTGAACCTGAATTTCGAAATGTGAAAGGGAAGAATCAAATAAGTTTAATAAAAAAAAGAGAGATTAATAAATATATATCAAAGTCAATTAACACTGAGAGCTAATTTTTGAAAAACTCCTCGTGCGATTTTTACAAAACTTGGTAGTTTAGAGTAATTTGAGTCGTAGAATTGAAATATGGAAAAAAATCGGTATGTTATTTCAGAAAAAGTTTCGCTTTTTGTGTCAAAATACCTATATTAGAATAAAGCTATATATAAATCTAATACATATCCTAAGTCGCTCTTTTGAGACATGAAAAATGCAAGTTGAGTTTCATCAATTGGCACAGTATAACGGGAGATATAGAACTGTCTTTTTTTTTTTTTTTTTTCATAGTTTACATGATATATAAAAATGGCAAAATAAATATGAATATAAAAATGACACCAACTGTATCAGTTGTGAATTGTCCTTATTATTATTATGCCTATTTTAAGTGTGTTTTGAGAAATGTTAATCATAGTTAATGAAATTGCCACTAGTAATAACATATATGTAATCTCAATTTATTTTAATGCATTGAATGCTGTAGAATGCAAAACAAATTTTATTTAAAATATGAGGAAAGTGAGTGTCCTTAAATTTGCATTTTTATGTAATTTATCTCTAAAGTAAGACATTTTCAGCAAATGTAAAAGTGTCTATCTAGTAATATCCTCATCTTCATTTTTACTGTTAATCCATTTTTTAGCTTTGTATGACAACTGTCTTCAGGTATCAGTGCTAAATATATTTTTTTTAAATCTTTTATCTTTTCCTGCTAATTATGCAAAAAGTCAAACTGATTTGTTGAAACAAATATTAAAATTAATTTAAAGACATTTATTCAACATTTTCAAAATTACAACTTTAGTAGCTGCAAGAAATTAACCTTGCATGGGTTTGTCCTAAAAGTTTTGAATTTTTTAGTATTCAAATTTAATTCATAAAGTGCTTTAATGTTTTGAATGAATTAAGGTTCATAAGAAACTCAATTTCACTTTAAAACTTTTATAATTTAGGACCAGAAACTGAAGCCGATGTTATCATTAAAGAAGAAGAAGAGGGTGTATATATAGTTTCTTATGTTCCTCAGGAAACTGGTCTTTTCGATGTCAAAATTTTGTGGAATAACAAAGAAATTCCTGGTAAAAATATTTCATAATATTCATCAAGTGTTTTTTCTGTGTGCCTCAATGTAAAATCACCTAATATAATTCAAGCTTTCAGATATGGCAAAAATTTATATTCATTTTGGCCACTTGATATGAATTAAAATAGATACATTTGTGTGTTCAAATTTTGCCTTTCATTATTTGTGAACATATTTTCAATTAGTGATATTTATTATTATTCTTTAGATCAAAAAGTTTTGATACTATCATATAAACATAATTATGATGGACATAGGATGCCCACAGAGTACATAGGATGTCCACAGAGTCCCTGAGCAAATTTAGCATATTATTGTGAGTGTCTTGTAAGAGATAGTGCTTCAAATTTTTGTAATGGTATTACATATACCTCAAATTTTTCCCTGAGCAATTCATTTTGTTTTAATGTACAAAGTGTGGGTTTGTGGATCTGGAAATCCTGATGACATGAGGGAGTTGAAACAGGACAGTGGAAAGTGAATGTTTGTTGAGAGATGCTGTGTGACTAGATTTTAGGGCTATTTTTCTTCATTGAACAAATAGTAACAACCAGAGTTTACCTCAGTACATTAATTACATTTTCCTACAGCTTCAGGACCATCAACCAGAGCTGATATTGTTGCATATCAAGGTTATGTAACTTGTGCCAGTTGTCTTAAAATCTTTGCCCTTGCTTGTGATAATTTGACCAGTGCCAAGTGTATACAGTCTTCCATTCCCAAGCAATAAGCAGTTAAAGTTGTTTAGGGACTTTGTGGACTCTGTGTACTTTCAGTTTAATGAGCATTTGAGATACAAGGTATTATACATACATACAGACAGTTTTTCAAAAATTCCTTTTTGTTTTATTTGGTTGAAGATATTTAGAAGAGATATGGGAATACAGTTATGAGTGTCTTTCTTGAAAGTCATGATCTTGTTGATTGGGAATTTTGCTAAATTCGCATGGCATAAAAATACACGAAAAAGAAAACACCTGTAGCACTGCTGCTAAAGAGTTTGACATTTTTTTATATAGTCTGAACTGGAGATAAGACACTGCAGGTATTGAATTTATACATATCTGGTCTTTGTTGAAAAATATATCAAGTGAAACAGACACTTCTGTATGGGTATTAATGGAATATCATGAAAGTATGTCACAGGAAATTTCAGGAAATATACAAGTTGACAAGTGTTTTGCAATTTGCAGTCAGTCATCTTATCTAAAAGTATAATAGAAGAAGAAAATTAACCCATTGAGCAGCACAAATTTTTGGATCTATCAAGAAGACCTGTATTTAAACTGTATTTATTAGCTAAATTAATAAATTAGTATATTATTTTAGCCTGTGTTTTCATAAACTTACTTCGCTAAGGTGACATTTACATTATTTAAGGAAGTAACAAAGCAAACTATCTTAAATTATAAGCTAATCTATGCCAAGTGACAAAAAATCTCATTAACAGATAAAGCCGGTCATGCTGCTGAGAGGGTTAATATGCTGTGTAAACTTTCTTAAGGATTTTGAAATTGCTTTAATTTTTTCCTTGTTTCATTTTTAGGATAATTGGGTGAAACTGACTATACAGATGCTTTCTAGAATGTGTTTGAAAATGGTTATGTTTAGTAGAGATTTAATCTTAGGTTTATGTATAGCCAGTTTGTCTTTTATTGTAGTAGAAATTTTAACAAAATGTGACAACCGTAGTACTGACTTGGAGAGAGTGGTTAAAAGATAGAAATATGAACTTATTGTGTGGAGACTAGAATGGCAGTATAAGGTTAGATTATTTCAGTATGGGCAAAGAATATAAGGGCTGCTTACCTGTAGTAGGGCTTTGCGGAGAATTTGCTGAAGGAAAATGGCTCATATTTATGTATGCATGAGGAAAATCACAAAAATACAGCCTACCTGTTTGCTGGGAAACAAATCTTGGTTAAACTGCCAGTGTTCAGTGGTTGTACTGCTCAGTCACTAGTAGAGTTTGGAATAAAATATTGCAACAAAGTGGATGCATAATATGCTCATAATCTCTTACCTCTAAATGTGAATGGGTGACATTTCTTTTTGCCTAAGTGCATCATTAAAGTTGATTCCTTGGGCACCAAGATTTCAAAATTTCATGTCTTTTAAGAATCTGTAAAGATTCTTGTAGACAAATTGGGTGAATATGCATTATTTTAGTCATGTGAAAGCCTTTCTATGTGCTCAAACTGAGAATGAACTGGGAACTTTGATCAGTCATATGATGTTCAGTCTCTATGACCGACATGATAAAATTTTAGCACTTAGTGAATCAATGCCAATGACTACATCAACTCAGAATCACCCATCAAGTATATTTTGTTATAAATATATCCTTTTATGTTGGTGCTAATGACTGTATCACCCAGTATAAGTTTCTTTGTATATATATTTGAAATGTATAATCTCATACATCATTTGTGTTGTGCAGCCGGGGCAACAGGAATGAGAGAAATTTCGGAACATAAAGTGATACGTTTATTTCAGCATCCATCTTGCAAGCGTTCCCTCGTGTACCTTGAGGAGAAGCTCTATTTATAGATATGTGTGTGTCATGGTGCTCATCCAATCAGCGATGTTAATTGAAATTACGAGGTGACGCTATCTTCTCATCAGGAGTGTTCATAAGGACTTTATGTAATATGACATATTTATGACTTTGGCGATTTGGTGGGCACCAACAGGTTAATATAATTTATAATAAAGAAAGGATTTCGCCAAAATTTAGAAACAAGGATGCAATTTAGGTAGAGAATCGCCAACACATTATTAAGGAATATGATTAGAATTCAATTTAATCAATTGATTTAAAAATATCATTACATATATATATCTTATTAACTTCCCTGTATATTTAGTTACTGGACATGTGTGATTGTAAAATTTTTTTCAATGTATACTTTACTGTTTACTTGCTATGCTTGTGGCATATGGTGCAATTATTCATAGTATTGCATTTTCTTTAAGAAGAAACATATGCCCAAAACAATAATAGTATCTTTGGTCACACATCTTTTGGAAAGATGTTTACTTAATTTTTTTCAGTGTAACAAATGCTCAGCCATTGAATCAGCTTTTTAATTCTTCTTAAACCTTGCTTGATTATTGAATCAGCTTCTTGATTTTGACTTCATGGAATCGAGGAGGTATTATTGATGACTTTGAGCAGAGTATTTTTTCTGATCTGACTTTTTAAAATTATATTCTTAATTCCTAAGTATAAAAGAATTTTGTGAATTTAACAGTCATACATAATATATAGCATATCTTGTGTATAGATTTTATTTTGATCATGTGTTTCTCGTACATTACAAATAAAGCAAAAGTGAAAAAAAGTATGTTTGTATTAGAATATTACAAAGCCAATTTATGCAATTTTCTTCATTACCTAATTTTAGGAAGTCCATACCATCCACGTGTGGTAAATAGTGCTAAAATGAGGGTTATTGGTGGGCTTGAAAATGTAGTTGATGAGCACAATCACATTCCTCTTGTTGCTGGTGAAGAAAAGCGCATTCCATTTGATATATCTGATGCTGGCCCAGGTAAGTGCTATTATATGTTAATTTTTTTAATGCTGCAAATTTTTAGTTTGCATTTTATTCTCATTAAATTATTCTATTCACACATGAGTTTTTTTGTTTTGGCCTTTGAATTTTTTTAGGAAAACCAAGAGCTGAAGTTAGAGGCCCTTCTGGTATGATACCTTCAAAATTTGATCAGACTGGTAGCCATAGGTATCATCTTGTATTTACGCCTAAGGAAGGAGGTAAATTATTGTAGAATTATTAATTAAAGGCATTTATTCTAATTGTCCCAATTATTTTAATGAGTGAAATTTATATACTGTAATAATAGGAGAGCATCAGATTTATGTATATTTTGCTGACATACCACTTCCCGCATCTCCATTCCTTGGATATGCTGAAGAGCTTGGACCTGCTCCAGATCATACCCGTGTTGTTTTACGAGGTCATGGATTAACTGGTGCGAAAGTAGGCGAGGAAGCTGAATTTATAATTGATGGGTCAGAAGCAGGACCAGGTGAATATTAGTTTCTTAAAAGATGTTGCATTTGAAAAAATAAATGATAGTGCCTTTTGTTTTTGCAGAAAATAGATTTAATTTTAATCATTCTTTAATGTAAACAAATTATGCAATGTGCTACTAAAATTTATTACATTATTATTCAATATAGGTGTATCTAAGTTGTATGAAAAGTTGATTGCAAATGTTTGTATAAAACTTACATAAATTGTAGCTTCTAAGCCTTAATTTAAGATATATATGCTATGAGCTTTTTCTAATCCAGCTGTGACATAGTATTGCTGTGTAAATACTCAGCAGCAATTATTTCAACCCAGTGAAATGTTTAAACACCAGAAGCTATGGTTGTATCTACTTTAAATTAAGCATTTTACTTACCACAAGATTATTTAAACATATCTATACAACATAATTGTTTTTGTATTAATGCATACTAACAAATGCTGTAATAGCAAACATTTGTAACTAAATATTAGAATAGCCAACATTTAAAAATTGCTATTGTAAAGTCTTTATGTCCTATAAAGTACTGTTAGCTCCGGGTTTGAATCCTGAGGAAGACATGGTGGTTTTTAAGTGCTTAGTGTCTGTTTAGCATGTGAGCACTTGAAATACTGTGGAGCCAAAAGTCCTTTAGAAGGGTCTGGTGGTAGGAAAAGAGGGGTAGGAACCTTTTCTGATCCATTCCCCCTGCATCAAAATTTTTATGGAGCATTACAGTTACTGTGGTGGAATTATACCTGTACAAGCACTCGTGAAATTCTGGTATCCGATCCACTTCTGTCTTGTCCTGTACGTAAAAAAAATAGTAATAGTAATAATGAAAAAACATGTTAGTTACAGGAAGCTAACAAAGCCTCAGGATAATATCAGTTCTTATGTCATAGTCTATATAACAATGTGTAAGAAAAGGGACTAGTATAAATATATTTAAGGTTAAAACCCAAATGTATTGTTCGCAAAAAATGACTGACATGTGCCCACTGGCTTAGTTAAGTCATTCGCATTGCTTCAACTTCAGAGCATACAGTATGCGTCAAAATAACACATAGCTGTATAATTGCATAAAATGAAATCACCTTCACCTTTTTTATTTGAGGAATTATGTTTTTTCATTTTTTTATAACTGCAAATTTTTAGAAAACAGTCTTTGTATTGGTGAAGCTTTCTAGCTGTAGGTTGGTTGTGGGTGTTTATAGATGATTCACTCCTATGCAAGGCTATAATTATTCTAGTTCAGCATTGGATGCCCTTATAAGATTCTAACAAAGTGCACAGGGTAAAAGATCTAGGTGTGTAAAGAAAGGGATGCCTTTGTGGAGAACTTTCTGGGGTAAAGTGACTCATATCCATGTGACTCATGAAGAAAATCATGAAAACTAGGCTATGTACTGGGATTTGCATCCAGGGCGAATTATCAGTGTTCAATTTATTCTATTTTCTTGCCCACTGGTTAGCCTGTTCAACAGTGATTTAATTTTCTAATGTAATCTGTGATGTATTGCTGAAAGTACTTGTATAAACATTTTCGTTATTTCATTGTTGTTGCAAAGGGGGAAAACCCTTTGACTTGAGTAGACTGATGATGGCAAAAGAACATAGTCCTATTCACTTTAAGATGAATTTCACACAATGGTTATAATCACTTGTGTAAAGCCAACTTTTTACACCAAAAAAGAAAAAAAAAACTGTTAATGAAAATTAACTAAAACTTTTGTTGGTAAATTATACAGTATGTAAAATTTATAGCTGATTATTCTGAGAATGAGTAAAAGAAGTGTCTCAGGGAAAGAGAAAATGTCTTAAAATAGATTAAAAATTTTGAATTTATTTGACTATGATTTTCTTTCTATATGTGACATAACAGAAATTTTAGATGGCACAAATTATTGATTTTTTTCATGAAGTTGTCTTTGTATAGTTTATCTTAAAGTTTCTAAGCACATACAGCTAATAACTTATGAACATCAAAATTGTTTTTTAAGTTCTAACATATTTCTCTGTATTAAGGTTCACCTGAAGTTACTCTTGGTGGTGTAAAAGCAGACATTCCAGTCCAAATACTTCCAGTTGGTAATAATGTATACAAAGTTCTTTATACACCCAGTGTGCAAGGTAAATATTTTATATGTTTTTGAATAAGTGTTTAAAATGTGATATTACTGAAAGCTAAAAATATTTCTGAATCTCTGAGAATTTTATCTAAGAGTTGCTTTCTTAAGAAATAAAGAGCAGGTGTTTTGTGTGTCTTTTTTTAGTAACATGAAATGGTTTATGATCCGTTAAAAATATTATGCTGAATGAATCTGCCATTCAAATGAGAAACTAGAAGTGTTGCTTGTTTAAAGTAATGACTTTGTATGCTCTGTTACGTTGTAGAGTTCCGAATTAAAAATATTCTGCATGCAGTCAAGTGTAAAACAAGTGATTGGTAATCATCTTCTTTAGCTGATAAGTTTCATTTAAGTCTGTGTAGTGAGTATATTCAGAGAAATGGGATTTAGAATAGCCTTTTCAGAGTTCAGAATCTGCAGCAAGGTTTTCTTTAATGCAGCAGTTCTCTTTAATGCTAAAGTTCAACTTTGATTTTTTCACAAAGGACATATCTCCCTAGTAGATCTCTTGTACCTCTTCTAGAATGCAACTTTTGATGTGTATTATGTAATTCTAGTGACATTGTATTTTTCAACTCTTCTGAGCTTAAAAACCTACAACTTGGTTGATTAACTGAGAAAGGATGTACAATTCTCTTGGTGAAAGATCAGGTAAATGTTGTAGGCAAAGCTAGAAAAGATTTCTAGAACAGAGTTCCTATTCTGGTGAAAAATTTAGAGAACATATGGTGCCTGTGGCAAGGAACATTTTTGTGTGAGAATCCTCTGCTTGTTGAACCAAAATTAAGACTTAGGATAAACTGAGCCCTGCCAAAAATATACTTCCAACAAAAGTAATTTTCTGGACTACTTGCCGTAAGTCCCCATAGTTTTAGAAAATAATTAAGTTCTGTCATTATTTTATTCATTGTCACTTTTATGCTCATTATCTTCAGTGTCCTTTCTAAAAATCGCAGAAAATTGAAATTTAAAAAATTTGAAACTGTACCATAAATATACTTTCAAATTTCATAGGACACTGGACATTTTCTGAAATTGTATGGAACTTCGTTTTCATGCTCTGCTTAACAAATGCAGTTTTTCATCTTTTGCTAACCACACAAAACTTTGACTAAAGTGGTAAGAATATATTATCACTTTTGTTGTACTCAACAACTCATTATAATACACATTTTCTTTAAGTAAGATGACATGTAGAAGTTAAAATGTGAGGAGCCATTAAAAAGAGTGAGATCTGTGTATGAATAGAAAGTGTGATAAATACAACACAATAAATAGAAAGTATAGTGTGATACTTGACTCAGCCTTTCATCCCTTGAGGGGGGTCAATAAAATTAGTACCAAGTTCGTTTGGGGACTAAACACCGGGGGACTTGTCCACTTGTCCAGGCAAGATGAACAAGCATCCCGGAGCCCATGGTCTAGAAAGTAGACATCAGGGCACTGCTGGCCATATCTCTCTAAGGGCTGTTTGTGCTGCCAAGTTTAGTTTTAGTGCGATACTAAATATACTCACTTCCAAAAGTTAAGCACGAAGATGTAAAATGCCAAAAAATCAAGAAATACTGCTTTGATTGACACAAAATTTGGCAGGAAAGTAGCATATATATTTATGCATAAACAAAATCAATAATATATACAGAAATGAAAACAATATTAAATTTTTGTAAGTTATCAGATAATGACATACTTGAGACTTAAACAAAATTATGTATAAAGTGTAAATAAACAGATAAAATTAAAAAAAGGACATTAATAAGGTGTGTGATCCTCCCCCCATCTGTATACAAAGTTTACACCTTGTGACCATGCTTCTAATTAGGTGGTCAACCACTGCAGATTTAAGCAATCACCATTCAGAGCAGTTTCCAGCTCAATAAGAGTGGCTGGAGGTGGGAAACGTGAAGATACAGCACGGCCGAGAGCATCCCAAAGATTTTTCAATGGGATTAAGGTCAGGCAAATATGCCGGCCACGCCATACGCACAATCCCTTCACTCTCCAGGTAGTCATCGACGATGTCAGCTCTATGGGGACGTGCGTTAGCGTTCATTAAAACAAAAGTAGGCCCAATTGCTGCTGCGTACAATCTCACAATGGCTTCTAGGACTTCATCTTGATACTGGACAGCCGTCAAAGAACCCCATTTACAGGTGTGCAGGTTGGTGCAGTATCCTAATGAAATCCCTGCCCACACCATAATGCTTCCGCCTCTGAATGCGTGACGTTCGGTGATGTTTTGGGACTGATTGCATGTTCATTGTTCATGCTGTATCCTTATACACTTATCATCTGGCTCCAGAGCAAAGCTTGACTCATCAGTAAACATGACATCGCCCCAGTCAGATACATTCCAATTGACATGTTCCAGGCGCAACTGTAATCGTGCCCCTCTTGATTGAACGGATAGAGGAACACAAACTTGATTTCCTGGGCGTATAGTCCACTCATATGTAATCTTTGGCGTACAGTTGCTGCAGATATCGCCTTACTAATGGACCATAGATGTCACACGTGTGAAGTCGCTCTGAGATTCCACTTGGCTACAATAGCAATATATCGATCTTCAGCGGGGAATGTAACCCTTGGGCGACCGGCTATGGTCCTTCGGACAACTGTCTGTGTGGTTGTGAATTGTTTCCATAAACGGGAAATTACAGAATGATGAACGCCAAAGAAAATAGCAACATCTGTGATGGACTGTCCTGCTTCAATGCGCCCCACAGCACGCCAGCACTCAGAATCTTCCATTCGTCTTCTGGAAGTCATAGAAACACGTATGTCTTGAAAACAAATTGTACGAAAATCTTAAACACCTTCTATCAGCGCTTACAATCAACTTCTGTAACCCTTCATAAAGCTAGCTTCTTATGAGACTGTCTTTTTTGCATATTTCTTGACATGAAAGTGCAATTGGCTGTTACCTAACATATTTACATACTTCCATCTACCTCTGCAGCAAATTGCATCCTCTTCAATTGTGATTGGCTTCCAGAAATTAGCATTTTCCTCTCCGTGCTTAACTCTTGGAAGTGAGTGTATAATGCTCCTGTTTAGATGATATGCAGTTCTCAAATTTGCCCTTAATTTTACTTATGTGAAGCAGCGTTTTATGAGAAGTTCTAGTAAAAAAATTCTTATGTTAAACATTCTTTTACAGCTAAATCTGTTGTCATTTTTATATTACTACACACTTAATTTTTTATTGTCTTTTTTAAGGAAAGAAAGAAGTTTTTTAACGAGATGAGGTTCTACATTTCATAATTTTATTACAGAAATAAGAAATTTGTTCTTCCTCCTCATTCTGTAAATTTTTTAAAAATATATTGTAATTTTGTAAGCATGAACATTTTGTGTAATTTCTATATAGGAGCATATTTATTGAATGTTATGTGGTCTGAGCGTCAAGTGAAAGGATGCCCTCTGAAAGTAACTGTTACTGCTGGTTGTGATGCTGAGAAAGTGTCTTGTTCCGGGGATGGTCTCCGTGGTGGAACTGTAGGCAAAGAAATAAAAGCTTTCATTGATACTAGGAAAGCTGGACCAGGTATATTATTATTTATAATTCCTATAAAAGTGTTAGATGATTCCTTTTTCTCATATTTGTTCCAGAATTTGCTTCATGTAAATATTTGAAATTTTTTCTACTTATGCTAATTTGCATTTATGCAATTAAAGATGAAGTTTGAATTCAACACTATAATGCAATATTTCCTGGGCTTTTAGCTTCCTAACCCACACACATGTTGCTGCAAATTATACATGCAGGTAGACTGCATCTGCAATTCATACATTGCTTTGGGAGGGAGGCAAACATAAACAGAGGAGAAAATAATTAGTTAATACTTATAAATTAATTAACAATGATGAATAAATATTCATAATTATATAGCAAAGACTTGAAAATCTTCATGATCATCATTTTTGGAACCAATGATATAATATGCAATTTATTTGATTTTCATGTTTAGTCATGTTTCACACTTCTAGAGCATTTAAAAATTTTTCTGCATGAATTTTAATTAAAAACTTTAGAAAGCAGCATAAGCATAATTTTTGTTAAGTATATTACATTTACAGGTTGTGTATTTTTTATCAAAGTCATATATATTTACCAGGTCATATACTCTGTGCATATCCATTGCAATAGATGTGTATATATTTGTTGGACTGGATATGTAAAGTTTTATTGGGAGAATTACTTTCATACTCCTGCTTAGGCTTTTGTCTTGATTGGGAAAAGAAGTAAATTTTTTAGTAACCAAATTTAAGGTATTACTGAAATAGAAATCGCATTCTGGGCTTTTTTCCCTCTCTTCTTTTATTTTTTAAATGCATGTATGTGGATATATTACTTGTTATATAATTAAATCTCTATCTCTTAAAAAGTAGTGTCTTTCATAATGAAACAAAAAAGTGAAGACGATAAATGTATCACATATTAGTTTGCTGAAAGAAAAAATTTTAAAATACAAGTGTCAAAATAAAGCTTTAATTAAAGCTTCCATGTTTTCTTATAGTGTGATATTTGGTATTTGTAAATGCAGTTACTTTACTAGATTCTCAGTTTTTCTGTGCTATATCCTTTTTTATGGTATTTATAACTGTATTGAAATTCTGACAAGTTGTTAATAAGTTGTACTTTCATATCTACAGTAGACACCTCTTAATGTGATTGCAGTTAATGCTATCATTTCGATGTTGTTAATTTGCGAAGTCTGGCCTGTTTATGTAAGAAAAAATGGAAACTGCTTTGCTTATTGTGAATTTCAATTTGGTCAATATGATCAATAATACAGCATATTTTTTTTTTAAATTAAAGTTGTCAAATAAAATACATTTGCTAAATAAGGTCAAAATAGATTGTAAAAATTGTGAAGTGAGAGGAAAATCTCGCCAAGTGAGAAGTTAGGATGCCAAACAGCTTGGTTTTGAATTCAGTCTACCATTAAAATAAATCAAAGAAAGTAAGCATAGTTTGACATAGATTTTGAGTAATTCTATCGATTTTGAGGGTAATCTTGCCAAAGTCTTCTTTTTGCAGGGGGGGGGGGAAATTCTGCAGAATTTTTCCCTTAAAAAAAATCTGATGTGGACACCACATGACTTCCTTGCATAGCCTATTAAACTAAAAGCATTTTTTGTTGCACTTCATTTAAACTTGTTTCCTAGAATTATTCTAACTTAATTGGCTGATCTCTCAAGGCAAGTTGAAAATGACATAAAAAATTACAAATTTTGAAAATAAAAAATCCAGGACAATTTTTGTTGTACTGGAGTCAAACTTCTAATTTTTTTTTCCATAACGAATATAAAACTTTTCCAAATGAGTATAGAAGCCAGGAGACCATATTAAAAGTTAGATTTTGTTATTTGTCGAAAATAAAATTTTTTTAAAGAAATTTTGCATTGCCAAAACATGAATATTTTTTTGTAATTTAAAACACATCTGTAATTGGAAATATATATCTATATGAAGCATATTTTTTGTTTTATGTATGTTTGCATGTATGTATATATAGCAGGTTTAACAAAAAGGGTTTAAGAATTAAAAAAAATATAGTTAAAAGTAAGACAGGCATTGTGTATCTTTAAGCCCTTAGGTTAGCACATAGATTTGTCTGCTGCTGAAACATAACCTGCAAAGTATAGATTAAGGCCAGGAGTATGAGGGTTGTACCAATCATTAGATCCACCGTGTTAGAGGATATTACATATTTTTGCTGCTATTAAACTGCTCATGGGAAAGTTTTCCTTACTATTATTTATAAAAATATGGCTTCATTGGTGCTCCTAATTTCCCATTTAGCCTTTTTAAAGCATTTAACATGTACTTTTCTGTTTTATTTATGTTACTCTTTCATTATACTGGAAGTTGAAGTATGTGAATTATTGCATAATTAGTTGTGTTTTTGGATATATAAATTCATATGTTGTATGTATGCACAACAGCTAATTTTTTATGTGATTTCTAAAATATGTCCTTTTTTTAAACGCAGGTGAATTAACAGCTCACTGCATGGGCCCTCATAAAGTAGCTTATTGTGAATTATATGATCATAGAGATGGCACGTTTACTTTATATTTAAAACCACAAGAAGGTGGACGTCATGTACTCACTGTAAAATATGGAGGAGAACATGTGCCAGGCAAGTATTTTCATAATTGCAAGTGAATATATGTTTTACTGAAAAATTTTGGTGAAATTTAAAATGAAAAGCAATAAATAAAATCGCTTAAATCAATTAAGTTAAATCGATAGTTACATTTATTTATTTATTTTTTAGATTTAATTTCTGGCAATTGTTTGTCTTGAATGTTAATTTAAAAGACAGTATCGTAAATCATCGTTTTTCTATCCTTGTAATCTTCTGTAATATTTAAAAATTATTTTCAATGTTATTTTCTCTTTTTCAGCATTGTTATAAAGGTGTGTGTGTGTTTAATCTGTTGATTTTTTAAAGTGATGCAAAAGTGAAAACTTAAGATTTAGGCATAAAGCATTTTATTAACCATAAAGTGCCTTTAGCTTGTTTCATTCAGATTTTTATCCTTTGTTTCATGTGCATATGTAAGTTGGGAGTAACACATTAAATGCATTTTATTCTTTTTACAATCTGAAATGTTTATGCTGATTTATGTCCCATCAAGATAAAAAGAATACCTATGCATTTAACCTATTTTTATTGTTGCCTTTTGATTGCCACCTATTTTACTGTTTCATTCATTGACTAATCGTGGATGACAAACTGGAAAATGACTATGATTTTTAATTAAAATACATATTTATAGTTTATTAAAAATTTTACACATATTTATGCATAGATTTTTGGTTAAATCATTGATTATGTGTGACCTTTTAACTAATCAAGTGAATATAAGTTGTATGAAAGAAGAGCCTGCAAGCTGTACATATTAGACACAGGCATGTGTTTTCAGTAATGATTTCTAGGTGGAGAATTTTATGAAACAATTAGTATGCTTTAATGATTTAAAAATTTCCATAATTTTACATAGGAAATTCATGAGGATATTCAAAAAAAGAAAATGCTAAAATTCATCATATTCCTTGCCTATTATCACTGTCACTGAAGCTTTTTGAGACTGAACATACTGTTAATTAATCACTCTCAAGTAAAAAAGCATTTGTTCTTAAAATTATGGCCAATGCCATGAAAGCCTAAAGAATATATCTGTGAATTTTGCCTGTAAAGATGTGGAGCTTTCTAACCTAATAAAAATGCAATAATTTTTTTTTTTGTGTGTGTGTTTGTAACCATGATGGAGGAACTGTAAAAGGTGTGATTTTGTAGAATCAGTGTACCTGCTGTTTTTATAAAATTCTTGCTTCTCATTTTAAGAAATTTTGTTAGAAGTACATGTATAAGACCAATATTTAATTAAATAAAATCTATAGCCATCATTTTCAAATGCCTCAGTTTGCTATAGACATATTGAAAATCAGGTTACTGCTTTGACATCATAGATGCAGTGTCATTTTTTAAATCTTGTGTTTGATCTTAAAGACATTCTTCTACAGAGCAAAATATTCTTTATGATAATTAAATATGTTGCTGCTGTGATACATGTCTGCCAGCGAAATCAGCTCAAGTGTTCACATTTTATTATGACCAAGAGTATAAGGATTATACCATTCATTAGCTTAGATGTTCAGCATCTCTAAGGTAATGCTACAAATTGGCTCAGCTCCATTTTAGTTTTGCAAGAAAATCCTCTGTGTGTGTATCCTGCCCATTTTTTTCCTTCCATCAACTCAGAGTTTTGGTTCAGCACTTTTGAAATACTCCTGTGCCAACAAGACACTATACTCTAGCAAGCAACCATGCTTGTCAAGTGTCGCATACTTTAGGATTGTCCATGCTATAGGATTCGATCCCGTATCCAAGACTCTGACCAAGCTCTTCTGTCACCATGTCAGTAGTGCAGCATAACTAAATATTAAAAACTGTTAAAACTAAGCATAGCTAAGTAAGCATAACTAAGCAATAAAACTGTTAAAATAGAGAAATTAATTTGTTTTATCTGTTTTTTAAAATTATTAGGTTTTTGTAACTCAAATATTTTTTAGTTTTGCATCACATGAAAAATATTTATATTAATCAGCTGCAAAGTATTTGTCATCTATTAGTATTATACTTCTTGAGTTCAGGGAGTTTTCCAAGTTCTCGTTTTGCAAAATTTATTACCAGATTTGAAATTGCCCTATCTGCTTTGTTGAAGCGCATCCATAGTATTATTTAGTTAACTTACTAAAACTCTCCAAAAAAACAATCTGATGGAGAATACAGGTGATATTGAGCGATCTTCTGACAGAGCAAGTGGTTTTGGACTTTTATTGTAAAGCATGGCTTTATGTGATTTCACAGTGCTGAATCTCTTGCTATGAAGATGCATATAAAATCCCAAAGTTGTAGACAGGTGAGTCTAGCATCTAATAGTTGAATTCCAGAAGTTTTGAACACAGTAAGAATCCCTTTGCCAGTAGGCATGACTTTTGGTAGGTGCATTCCAGGTCTTAATATGTTCAGCTGATGGCTTATTCTTACTTTGAGGTCATGCTTCTGTTATCAATGGTAGTGCATTGTAAAGAGCAAGAATTTTGGATTTACAGGGAGGAAGGCAGGAAATACAAATGAAATTATATTGCCATTTCTGCTGCGCCAGTTTGTGGGATACTAGTTGTTTATTTTTATGATGATGTTTAAGAAATACCGTCTTCATCATGTTTAAAAGTACTTTGATAAAATAAAGCTTTACTTCCCTCCTCAGGATTTCATCAGTTTAAAAGTGTAAGAAAATTGCAAAATGAAATTAACTAAGGAATGTAAAATTTAGAGTATCTAATTAAATATTGTAACATTTTGCACCAGAATCATATTTTAAATAGTTGAATAACCTGAATCATGCATTATAAAGTGAAGCTGATTTGAAGTTTTTTAAAAATGGAGAACTACTACCGTGCAATATGAAAAGTCCTAAAAATTTCAGTTTTCTGGTGTGAGAAGTTTCTTTTTTTTTTTTATATTTCAAGTTTGGCAGCTGTGCCACTGACAAATATGGAAAATGATTTGTGGAAGACTCCGATACAGTGTTGTCGCAAGGTTATAATAAATTTAAAGAACGTGAAATTAAAAAGAAACACAGGGTTATAGTAGTGGCTTGTAAAAATCAGTGAGTTGAGAGAAGATGGGCTCATTAAGTGGCAGAAATGTTATGAGCAAAAGCATCCACACTCTTCATCTCAGTGGTGGGAAGGGAAATCTTTACCAGCAATGACAGCTGCTGGGACAATTTCACCTTTGTGGGAAGTTGGAACTTTCCATAAAAACCCAGTAAAACACAGCCTGATTCTTAGCAAATGGTAACATGTTTCATATGGGGTTTGACCTCTAAAGACGGTGTTTTCATCACAAGAATGCATCAAGTCCATTATACACTTTTGAAAAGGAAGGCAGTGGTAAAGACATCTGAAAAATAATAATAATAATATGACCAAAGAATAGTGGAGGGAAAATGTCAAACTAACCTTGTACTTCCATTATTTGTAAGGGGAAAAGGCCTAAAAAATAGTGCAAATCATTTCTGTGGCACACACACACACATACACACAAAAAATAAAAATCTGAAAGATTTCAGATTTTAAATTACATCCAAAGGCGTGTTTTTTTTAACGTTTTGTGTGTTACCTTTTTTTATTAAATATCATGTTCTTTGCACTTAAGCCATAAAATTCAGTTCAATAGCAATGTCGCAAAATAATTTTTAAATGAGCATATCTTTAGAATTTCCGATACACGGTTCCACACGCTGGAAATAAAAAGGTTCCCCCCATAGAGTGTTGCCATTGCTCACTTTGAAATCCTTGAGTTTGTTAATCAAAAATTCGTTAGTTTTACAAAATATGAAATCGATAATAAAACAAATTCCAAATATCAAATTTGGTCTTCCACATATCCATATTTGTAGGGGGATTACGTCATTCAAAATTTGATGGTTTTAGGTACCATTGTTTTATCACAATGTGAGAAAAATACATACATTTATGCAGATTTTTCATTATTTAATTTCTTCAAATGTAATGCAGGACTCTAACGTTTGGTGGCAACAGTTTGAAAAGTGAAATGAACATTTATAGTGATTCAACGCAAAATGAAAACAATAGTCCTTCAGAGACTAAAATGACTAAAAAGACCTTTGAACTAAAAAGAGCCAAGAAAAGTCCGCTTACTTAAACTGAACAAACTTGCCAGACAACAACACTCAATGTTTTAGAGTATGCTTGAAGATGAATATTGAGATTTCCTGTGATTTTAGGTTAGAAATGTAAATAAATTCATTTATCGTTATCTCCTAATTGATTGATTCATAAAATACAGTTCTATCGCAAAATTAGAATTTTTAGTTATATTTAAAAATTTTAAATGAAAAGTCAATAATTTTTCTGTTTTTAATTGCTAATATTGCACAGAAGTCTTATCTTAAATCAGTCTTTCAATAATGAGTCTTTTCAAGAATTGAAGCTTGCAGAAATAACTAGAAACTCTAGAAATTAGTTTTTAAAACAACATTGAGAAAATTAACTAAACAAAAGCAAGTTGTATTACTTTGCTAATTAAATATGTTAAACACTTTAAATTTAACTAATTAATTTAAGAAGAAATCTATGTTTTCTCAAGTTTGAAATGTTAAGTACTTTAAATTTAACTAATTAATTTAAGAAAATCTATACTTCTTGAATTTTGAAATGGGAAGTAAACTAAGAACACAATATGTATGGTATAAGCAACAAAATTTCAATATCTGTTCTTATTAAAGTTAGTGACATGTAAATACATTGTAAATATATTCTTTTTCATTTCTTGGTGGTCACTGGTTAAGTTTTAATGAATAAAATGTACATGCATTTCTTTCTTCATGTGTCTTTCAATTTGTTTAGAATAGTGAACTATTACTTCTTATTGATTTTAAGTCATGACATAATCTCTTTAGCTATTTGCTTAATTTATATGTATATATATATTTCTATAAATATTATATATATATAGTAGATTAAAATAAATTGAATATTTTCAGGTAGTCCATTTACAATACGTATTGCTGGTGCCCCAGATGCTTCCAAAGTAAGAGTTTATGGCCCTGGGATTGAACCTGGTGTCTTGGCTACATACCAAAGTCGATTCATTTGTGACACTAGAGGAGCAGGTGCTGGGCAACTTACAGTACGAATTCGGGGCCCAAAAGGTATGTTTGGTAAAACGTTTTACCTGATTTCTCAATTACAACTTAGTCCTAGGGCAAGTGGCTGTAATTCTATGGAAACCTGATTTTTATTCATGGACATGATACATGACAGCAGAATATGGTGAATGCATGGCAGGTTTCATGCTTTTCCTCTGTATGTAACATAATTATGTGGTGTTTTCCCCTAAAAATTCCTTTGCAAAGGAAACCTCAATATTTTTAATGTATGGCCAGAACAAAAATAGAATAGCCACTATAGACAATACCTCATTCATATATAATGATTATAAAAAAGGTAAATAGGTGTATATATCAAAATATATGCATTTTATTGTACAAGTCCCATTATTTTGAAAGTACTGAGTATTCACTGAATTTAATTTTGAATAAGTGATTGCTGGTCTTCTCATCTCATATGTTCAAAAGTTTTGAAATGCATAATGCATTTTCAAGCTCATATGCTACCAAGGGTTTTCTTTCTGATGCATATGTATAGCCAGAAGCGAAGGGCATATATTCTGCTTAAATAATACGTAAGTCTGAAAGAGTTAAACTTGGCAGATATTTTTTAATGTAGCCTAATTATTATTTATTTATCATCTATTCTGAATTTTCTTATTTACTGTGCCCCCCCCCTACAACAAAATAACCCATGAACTATAAACAGAATTTCCCTTTAAGGTAGCTGTAAAACTTGCATATTTATTTTTATTGTAATCACTGCTAAATAATTACTTCTATTTTTTCCAAAGGTTTGAAAGTATCATTGATATGTATCCATTAAAATAATGTGCAGTTAAAAAAGTCTGAGAGTACAGTTTCTTGGAGAAAATGTTTTATTTTTGTTACTTATCTTTGATTTATAATTTAGCAGTTACTAGCAACTGAGTGCAAGAGAGCAATAAATGCTGAGAAAAGTTAGGTTTGTCATCATCTGCAGGAAATAATTAAAACCTTTCTAACTTTTGTGACTTCATTAAAAATATTATCAAAAAAGTGGAAGGTCTAATTATTTGTAACCATTTACAGTACTGTTTATTATCATAATGTTTCCTTTATTTCATTTTTTCATTAGTTAAATCTGCTGAAATTAGATACTCAGTATATTGCCATTTTGTTAGTCATTTAATTTGACATTTTATATTAAATATAAGTTGATTTGCATATTTCATCATGAAATGAAGCTTTCTAAATGATTATAATCATTTCAGTTTTAGACTTTGACATCTTTTTATTGTTCAGTGTGATTTGAAAAAAGAATGTGGTCATAATTTTTTTGCAGTTAATATGAAAAGTGTTCGTATATCAGGCAGAATAAGCTAGAATGCTATTTACCCAAAACTAGTAAATTCAAATTTAACTTGGAACAAATCAGAAATCATCTTCTGAACATTCTTTAATATTTGAATTTCCGGGAGAAAATGAAGAAAATAAAGATATAAAACTAAGATACAGGTGATAAACACTCAACAAAAATTCTTTTTAAACTCTCAAAAGAGTTTGTAGACTGACATTTTTTAGCATTTTTGAAATTTTAACTGTAAATTAGCATTTCATTGGCTACCCTTTCTGCTGTATTACTGCTATGCTAGGAATCAAAGTGTGGAAAGAAAGTTGTGGAGCTTTTAATATGTGCCCATTTCTCTTGAGATTTTTTTTAAAGTCTTATTTGGAAATCATTTTTTTTGTCTGTGTTCCAAGTTGTCTGACAAGCATTTAATCAGATTAAGATCTGTTGGAAATAAAGTGCATTCTGGGATGTTATGATAACACTTGCAGCTATGTATTCAAAACTGTGTGGTTTGCATCATTGTTGAGTATAAAGACATATTATTACATTAGACCTATTTTCTTGACAGTGCACCTTATTCATGGTTTCATTGATTATATGTCCATAAAAGTCCTTATGTGGCCTTTATTTTTACATTTGTTGGCCATTAGACGTATGCTTCCAATTATAAAAATGTTTTAAATGACACAAATATCCATGTTTTGACATTTTTTAAACTTAAAAAAACCATTTTTGTAGATACAAAATTCAACTTTTTATATGATCTTCCAGTCTGTAGTTACATTTAGGAGTTTATGCTTGTTATAAAAATTAAAATGCAGAAATGTTTGTCAGCTTATGAAAGTTGACTTCAACTTTCTTCACATAAGGCATCTAAGAATTCCACCCACTTTATATGCATGTCTGCAGGTAAATTTGAGGTCAGCTGAAAATGGAGTAGGAAATCTAATGAAATTAATTTTGTGCTTTCTCTTATCTTAAAATTTGTTCTCAAAATCGTGTAGTGAAATAACAATCAGCACCACATAATTTTCACTTATTTATACAGTTGTAGGCATTTTTGTGTAATTTGAGATTGAATTGATTTGTTATTCTTAGCATGACCTTGCCACTATTTTAGTTTATTTTATATGCTGTCATTCTTTGCAATATCATTTATCGATAGCTTTTGGCCTTTCTTTTAAGTATCTCTTTAAAAGTGCTTCTCTAAGTAAGTGGCCATATTCACTAATTCTAGAAAGGTGGAATTAGTATCATGGTTAAAAAAATATTCACAATAATTTAAATAAAATTTTATAACAAAGGATAAGTAAAAATAAATCATGAAGACAAAGATCTGGATAGTAGTCATCAACATTCTTAATATTACCATATTATTCAGTTATTTAAGTTTGCTCGTTTTGGTTACTTGAATCTCCACTATCCAGTTATGAATGTTCTAAGTGATCCCAGACATCAGCTCAGCTGAAAAAGAATTAAACTTTATTGTACTTGTGTAAACTTTATGGTTTGCTAACCATGTGCTTGTAGGTCTTATATGAATGATTACAAAACATTTTGTTTGCGATTAACTTCACAAGAAAATCTGTTATGTGCTATTAATAAATTAAATTTTTGTTTATAAAAGAGATGTGGCCTGATAATAAATTTAAATTTTACTCGGATCAATAGTTTTTAAAGAAACCCATAAACCTTTGTTTATCTGTTTGTGTGTTGGTAAAATCCATTGTGACGTGGTGAGACCCAATTATTACTACACTCTCAAAGTAAACATTGAAAAAATATCAGTGTTGTGTGCACTTTGTGTGGAAGAAGAAATAATTATTTTATTATAATTTTATTTACAAAATTACTTCATATTAGTTCAGGTAATTACAACAACATAAATAATAATAATAATAATAATAAAGAATTATTTTAAGTGTGTAGTTTTGCAGTTCACATGGTATCAATTCTTCGGAAATTTGAATCAGAAAGTTTTTAGGGAACTCCAGGATTCTACAGAACACAGTTTGAAGGCCACTGGTCTAAATATTATAATAGTTTTTACATTTTAAAAATACAGAAAGTGCAATATGATCCCAAAGTCAGTAAACTTAAAACCTTCTATTTCAGTGAGTTTGCAGCATAAGGTAATTTAATTAGCATATGAACACATAAAATTATGTGGTTTTTTTTTTAAAGAATTGTACTAAGAAGTTTGTTACTTATTCTCTAGGTGTATTTAAAATTCTGAATATATGGTGGTATTTTGAACTATTCCTGTCACAGGTCAGAATTTCCCTAACTTGTTACACAGCAGTATTCTTTCCTGAAAGAACAGTAAACAGTGCATTTTGTGATATTCATGCAAGATGGAATATCACTGTTTTAATGCTCCTTAGTAAACAAGTTGTAACTTTTGGAAAGCATTAAGCCATTGTTTTAGTCATGAATAACTATTCAAATTAATGCATTAGTTTATCTTCAGACTGTAATGATGGCTTCTGTATTCATCATTTATTATTTTGTGTTCATTTAATGAGAAAGCACTGTCTGCTTCTAATTAATTTATAAAAATATTACATATAAGGTTCCTAAATTTTCAGATTTTATGCATTTCTGCATTAATTTCATGGTTATATGATGGAAATTCACTGAAGTATTATTTTTAAAAATATTTATTGACTTTTAAACCTCTTTAACTTTATTAAAATTAAAGCTACTGTGAATTATTTAAAATATGGGGACTTACTGTATGGCAGTTAGAGTTACATGAAGTTTGAATTTTATGTATTATATGTTATGAATTTAGAGAAAAATTAATAATTAATACAGTATGGCATTAATATTATACAATTTTTTAAGAACACTACTTCAGAAAATAACATATGATAATTAGTTTATGATAATTAGTTTTAGTGATAATAAGTGATATTACAATATAGGATACATATAAACACATGCAAAATCAGAAATGCAAATATTGTTTTCATCAAAAATTTCTGAATTTTTGGAAACCATTGTAATGTATGTATTAACTTATGAGTTTCTAGGATTTAATGTAAAGCTGTTTTATGTAGTTTTAAAATTAAACTTCATAATTTGGGATAATGATTATCAATAACATTGTATGACTAATTAATATTTTTGACTTTTGTAACTGAAGCGTAAGATGAAGTCTGTATTGGGGTTGTAAAAGTAATTATATTCTTACCCAGAATGCATTTAAAAGTAATAAATGTTAACTGCTTTGTTTCTTGAAGGAGCCTTTCGGGTTGAAATGCAACGGGAAAGCCAGAAAGATAGAACTATTCTTTGCAAGTATGATCCTACAGAGCCTGGTGATTATCGTCTAGAAGTGAAGTGGTCCGGAGAACATGTACCAGGTTCTCCATTTATGGTGATGATATTTGATACTCAAGAAGAGCTTAATCATTATATACAGGGACAGTATCAGGCGCAAAGTGGAGGACCACCACCTTTACCTCCAGCTGATTATTTTGGTGGTAGTTTAACATATAGTACTGGTTTTGGTCAAATGTCTTGGAGGGGATCTACTGCCGAACTTTAAAGTTTATACATAATTGCAGAACTTTTATCCCTACCTTCAATCCGTCCAAGATCACTGTATACAATTCATTTTCATCTTGATAACATTTCTGTTATTAATGGCTTTAAATTTAATATACTTATATAAGAAGAGATATTTTAGGTCATTTAGTGTTAATACAATACAAGGGTATTTCATAAATCATATCAATGTTAAAAAAGCATGTAAGAGTTTGGATTAATAGTTTCAAAACTCAAATTCTAAAGATATGTACATGGAAGTTAGCAATCTCATTTTACTGTAAAAATTATTATTTCATAGTATAGTTATATTAACACTTTATCTGATCTTTTATTGTAAAATATAAAATTCATTTAAAAGAGAAAGTTTTGTTTTTAAAATGTATCTTTGACTTAAACATGTTTAATGGCATTAATATTTTTTATTTTTCAGAAGCAATTATATATTGTAATGTATGAAAGAAAATATATAAGTAATTGTATAGTAGCTACTGCTTGCAAGGTAGCCATTTTAAAATTGATTTTTTTCCCTTGATATATTTTCATTAGAGTTTAATTTTCTCCTTTAGTTCCTATATGGAAAAAGGCATATCTTTAAAAAATAGAATATGAAGAATTATTAAATTTATCAATTAAATCTGCTTCTTCTAATGTAAGAACAGCTTTAGAGTTATTTTATAACTGTTCATTTTCTATGTGAAATATGTTCACTTAAATTTTTTGTTCACAAAATGGATTTCAAAATTTCTTTTTATCACTCATAATTGTGTTCCTTTATTTCCCCAAAATAGTTTTAGTGATAATTAAAAATGTATATTAAAATTAATATTTTAAACATGCTGATATTTTTATAATTTTTTTCTTATTATTTTGTTTATGGAAGAAATCAAACTTTGTAAATTTTTTTATATATATAAAGAGTGAATTTGTGTAACTAAATTATATATGAAATATTTTTAAATATTTATATATAAAGATGTATAAAACATTTATGAAATAATAAATGTTATTTGTTTTTATAACTATTCTCTTGTATTGGGCTTATTATTAGAAATTAAAATATATTTGAATGATGAGCTTTATTATATATTGCATTAGTACCTTGTAAAATTTAGGATGAAAGTACAAAAAGAGTCATATTCCCTTGCCTTTCTGCATCCCTAGTCTGTAAAATTTCTTTCAATTCTTGTACCTTTATGAAATGGGGCAGTTTTTAAAACATGGCACTACGAAGTCATTTTGAGAAATAGTTGTTAGTGGAAAAGGGGGTTTAGAAGTATAACTTTTATTTAAATAGTGTATGCATAATTTGGTTATTCTAAATGAAATGAACTTTGTTCAAAATGGTAAAAGTTGTATTTCAAATCTTAAAAGCATTCATTCATTCATGTATACTTTTGAAATTCAAAATGTTAAAAGTATACATTTAATAAATGAACTGATGGAAGTAATGTGTCTTCAATCAGGACACATTCAGCTCATGATATGACTTTCTAGCTAATTATCATTTTACACCAATTATGGGATCCATTGTGTTTTTTCTTTTCCTACTGCTGTGTGTTTCCTTTCACTCAAGAACTGCTATATATATATGGTTTGAGTCTGCATGTCATTGGAGAAGATATGTTAAAAATCTAGTTCCCATTTGTGATACTTAGTTACCTTGCTCACTTTATCTGATTTCTTAATGTCAGCGCTTCTTAAACTGTGGGTTGCAACTTCAAAGGTGGTCACAAGATGAAATATTGGGGTCGCAAAAATATTACTCAGATATACAAATTTAAATAAAACATTAGTCGTAATCCAATCATTATATCCAATTATTTATACATTGCATTTTATGTACAGCACTATTATAAAATTGTAATACTGACAAAACTGAGCTGTAAATTATATTTAACATTGAAAACTGATATTAAGTGTATCATAATTGTTGTGCTGCATTGCTATTACAGAACATAAGTTATTTCAGAATCAAAATATACCACAAGCACCAGTGTGTAATTTCCTGCACTACACAAGCATGCAATGAATAAGGTTGACATCGCTGTGAATACAGTGATAATGCTTTCAGTTGTTTGTGTTTCATTGTAAGAAATGTATAAATCGCAAGAATAATACAGTATTGTGTTTTTCTGTTTTGCTTGACTTAAGATGGTATTCGTTTGAATAATTATTATGAGGGATGTTATTTTGTTTATATTTTAGGATAAAAATATTTTTTTCCCAATGGACAAATGGTTAAATGCAGGTAATGATGCAGATGGCAATATTACAAATTCCATTCAAGCAGAATCTTGAAATCAGAAGAAGACATCTAATATGCGAACATAAAAATATGATGAGGCATTTCTGAGTTTGCATTTGCTTGCAGTAACAGGAAATGAAAACCTCTTTGTTTAATTTTCAATAATATTTTCGTTATAGAGAGTATGAACCTATCCAAACTAAAAAGGCAAATTGAATCCAAGCATCCATTGTATGTCATTAAACCAAAAAGTAATTTCAAACGATGATTAAAATCTTTACATGGAGAAAAACAATATTTTTAGAAATTTGACTTTTATCTAAAATATTGACTCTTGTCATATACAGTCTTGTATCTGATTGCTTAAAATAAAAAGCCATACACCATTGGAGAAAATCTTGTTTTACCTGCTGTTATAAAATTCATAGAAATACTTTCTAGAAGTAAATATGGTGATAAAATTTGTAAAATTCCGTGGTCAAATGACACTGTCACCAAAAAAATTTCTGAAATTAACAGTGACCAATTTGATAAACTAATTACTGGATTTAAAAAAAAAAGCCCAAAATTATCAATTCATTTGCATGGAATAATTGATATTTAAAAAATAGCTCTGCTGTTAGTCAGATACATTTATAAAGAAAATATCAACAAAAAATTATTATTTTGTTATCTTTTGGAAGAACATATTGGAGGGAAAGACATACTATATCTTAAAGTTGAAGAATTCTTTTAAACCAAAGTTTTGATCGAAAAATTCCTTTGGAGTATGCATGACAGTGCAAAAGTAATGATGGGCAAAAATATTTTTTTTTAAATCATTTGTTAAAGCTGATGGTAATGGTGACTTTCACATGCTGTCTGATTCAATGCAAGTCCCTTGTTGCAAAACAGCTAGCAACAGAACTGAATGCTGTGCTTCAGAATACTATCAAAATTATTAACTGTATTAAATGCTGTACTCTTAACAGCCATTTATGTTTAAATCTCTCTAAAGACATCAACTCCAAATCCAAAACTTTATTATTATACGCAAAAATAAGCAAGTAAGATGGATGTTAAGAGAGTGAAATTTAAGAAGATTATTGTTATTAAAAATCAAAAATATTATATTTTTAACTGAACAAAAATCTGATCATTTTGCTCAATTTCAAAATGACTTATGACTACCGAAACTTGCTATTTGCCAGTTATTTTTGAGGAACTATACAGTTGCATTTTGTCTTTTCAAAGAAAAAACAGCAACATATTTACTTTGAATAATTAATTGAAGATTTTATTAAAGTTATCAACATTTAAAAGAAAAATGGTGTAAAATTTCGAACTATTTTCGACTGTCGATAGTTTTACAAGTGAAACAAAAAAAGTTTTAAACTTTAATTGAAAATTTTTTTATTGATCACTTAAAAAACATAGTAACAGTTTTTTAAATACTATTAAATTTTGAGTTCAAAAATTTATCTTGCATTCAAAAATCCTTTATGATTTCCATTAATGAGATTAATCATCTGCCATGTAAAACCTGTGAGGAGTTTGTTGAACTATCGAGTGACACAAAACTTGTCCACAAAAATCAGATTAAATTCTGTATCGGAACTAGAACTGAATTTCCTATAATTTCTTAAAATGGCATTAAATATTCTGCTTTCAGCACCACATACTTATGCAAAATGACATCTTTAGCTTTGGCGCTTGTTAAATTCAAATATTGTTCAATTCAAATTCAAATTCACATTCAAATATTGTAAATATTATGTGACAGAATCAAGTTTTTGTATGCTTGAAACAAATTCTAAAACTGTTATTTTTCATATGTATATTGTTTACCAAAGAAATTAATTATTCATGCTTGTAGTGTTGCTTCAGTCGCATTGATTTATTGTGTCATTATCAATTTTCTGATAAAGTTAAAAAGGAGTGGCAACGTTAAGTCATCATGGAAACCAAGGAAACAATGGAAAAAATGCATTCGATGTGGATAAACGTAAATGCGTATTATAAATAAATGTAAATAAAATATTAAATTTATCAGAATTAGAGAAGTGTTATGTTGCATACGAGGCGTTTCGTTGGTTTAAATGAGCGTGATCCAATTCTACTATAACTGATGATGATGAAAGCAAAGAAACTGAAGCTAAACTACATTACAGTGGTAAGAGGTGTGGAAAAAGTTTAAATTAAAAAAGTTATTGAGGAAGTTATAGAGGGCAAAAAAAACTATAGAGTTAGAAAAAAACAAGTTTTAGAGGTTAAAGTTATGGAAAAAGTTATAGAAGCCAAATAAATAAATATGCTCAGAAAAAAAATATGCCATGTAAAATAGAGATTTAACAGGAAATGTGTAAAATATAGAACTAAGAAGAGAAGTTCTGAATTGGTGTAGGATATAAATAAAATTATGTCAGATGTCACAGTAGATGAATATACAAAAAGAAAAATTACTCTAATAATGCACCGTGATTTACTGAAATCAAAAATATGCATTATTCAAAAGTGTTTAAAAAACAATTACAAAGCCTTCCTATAACATACATTTACATGGGAATCTTAAATCACAAACTTAAAAAAATGCATTTATACTGGAAACTTCAATATCAAAATTCTTTAAATATACAATTTTTATGGAAGATTTACTGCATGCTAAAGTTCCCCCTGCTCTTTTTAATTTTTGTCAGTTTCTACTTATCCTTTTTTTCATGATCTTTAATTTTTTGATAATTAAGGTAACACTGAAGCTGACTAATGCGATTGCTAAAATTAATGGCTAATCACCATACATTAAACAAAAACTTCATTTAGTAAAATTTGCATTTTTTACTTTCGTTTCTGCAGGATAATTTTTTAATTCATGAGCATCCATTTTTCTCAGCCATCTGAGCTTCAGTACTAATTCTAATAGTGACAAGACTGAATAAAATTAAAGGTATAGAAGATTAAAATTAATACACATTTTTTTGTTTGTCATTTAATTTATAGACAAGTACTAGCATCACTGTTATGAAAGTTCCTGGCCTTGATATAGGAATATATATATGTTTATCGAATGACATGTAGGAGTAGTTCTTGACATTATAGAAATGTAGATTTATTAGAAATATAATTTTGCGAACAAGAAAAATGAATTTACAATGGTTAGAGTCGCATATTGTCAAGAACAAAACATGTTGCTCGGCACTCATTAATCGTCCCAGTATAATGTTTTAAATGCTAACCCCTTGAAAAGTTCTGCTTGAAATATTAAAGGATGATTAATAGTTTCTTACTATTACTTCCTTTTTTTTTTTTTTTTTTTTTTTTTTTTTTTATCATTCTCTAGTTTAACTCGTTTCACCAATTTTTACATTTTTCTAGCTATAATAACAGCTTAAAAGTTAGGTTTACATCACAGGCTTAAAAAAATTTTTCACTTCTGGTGCACAGGCACAGTTGGCGCTACACATTTTTCCTTATATAGAATAATCTATTAAAAATAATGTCATTTTGAACTTTTTATTACCAATGATATACATATACATATATATAACTATACCTTATATATACCTTATATATATATATCTTATATAAATTTAAACAAATTTAAATTCTTAACACATACGTATAAAAGTAAAAAAGTAAAAAAGCAAATTTAAATTCTAAAAAAAGGAAAAAAGCCAAA